CAGATTGTATCCTTGAATTTCAGTTATGGTTGAAGTGATTACATGTCTGATTTTAATATGATTTTTAAGGTAGTATAAGCTAATATTGTATTGCTAATGGCATGTTAATGAGTTAAAGTCCATAACATGGTTATTCAGCATATTTGATTTTCAGAATTTAATAAACTGTTTTGTCATCTGTGTGTTTGAAGAAGATTGGCTTCAGTTAGGGCTTTAGTACGTTAATGGCTTTTCTGTTAAATTGCTGGGCCTGGCGTCAGCCCAAAAATGAGACAGATTGGTCGAAACCAGGCCTGACATAGTCTCTAGGCCCTTTTTTTCCGCTCCTGGGCTTAATTGCGAGCCCAAACAATATCAGTAATATTTTCCTTAATGGGGTTTCTCTAGATAACGTAGTGAGCTTATTGCTGGCCCAATCTTTTCCAAAATAATTAAAGTTCAACATATCTACCCAATGCATTTATAATTAGTAGCCTTACATCAAATTGCGAATTAGTTTTTAGAAGTAGGCATGAAATATTCGTAGTTTGCTGTAGGCGCGATTTAATATATCATCGTGATCGTGTACACGTTCGTGTGACATAATTACGATCTTAAAAACATCGAGTTATACGTTCGCGCAACTTCGACTAAACTTTCTTAATATTAATAAAGCGTTATTAATTGTGGACACGTACGCGTGACATGATTCTTGACGCGCCAAACAAATGAGTACACGTACGCGTGACTCGTTTTAGGATAATTTCTTAATTAAAAGAGGTGAAATGCACATAGGTTCTAAAACATGTAATTAAACAATTTAATAAGCCAGGTATATGATTAAAGCGACCGTGCTAAAACCACGAAACCCGGAAATGCCTATCACCTTCTCCCGGGTTAACAGAATTCCTTACCCGGATTTTCTGTGTTTCGCGGACTGTAAAACAGAGTCAAACTTCCTCGATTCGGGATTTTAAACCGGTGACTTGGGACACTATAAATTATCCCAAGTGGCGACTCTGAATTTGATATAAATAATCCTGTTTCGTTTGTCACTTAAATTGGAAAAACTCCCTTATATCCCATTCGGGTAAAAAAGGAGGTGCGACAGCTCTGGCGACTCTGCTGGGGACAAGAACCCAGAACTTCTGGTTCAGGGTTCAAGAATTCGATCTTTTAATATGATTGTTACTTGACTTTATTTATTGTTGATATTATTGTATTTTGTGGACCTAATGGGCTAATTGCTGTTTATTTACCGTTTTGATATTATTTGAACTGTATTAAAATGCCTTGTTACACCGCCCTTCTGAGTCTTCTAAAATATGGTGCACACGTACGTGTGGCCCACTTTCTATTAGAAGTCATACCAATTACAACGAGGCTTGGGTCAGCAACAAGGCCGGGCAGACTTTCGTGCTCCCGGTACATTGCCCCTACCTCGGCTCGAGCTATCCGCTAGGGTAAGCTAGGTCTAGAACATAACCCCAGGTTTAAACCTAGAATAACATAACCTCATGCCAGATCCCTAGTAGGAACGTTTGTTTGCATCACGTGCATTTGACTTAGGGGACTCAACACAGGGGTTGGGTCCGTCTAGGACAGGTGTACCCAAAAAAATAGACCATCGTGATGTATCTTACGTGCTATGTGAACATTTATTTGTTTCGGCTTGCATGCTGACCGGATAGGAAAAGAAAATCAAGAGGAAAACCAAGAGTGATGTAGGAAGGAAATAAAACCCGGTTCCGAGAACCCCGGTATTTGAAAATATCCCGAAACTCTGCCGAATTTTTTCAAAAAAAAAGGGGTTGAAAAGAAAAAAAAGAAAAGAAGAAGAAAGGGAAAAAAAGTCATTTCAAAATGAGTCATTCATGTTTTTCCAATTATGTCAACACTGACCGAACTACGCAGGTCTGATTTTCACCGGATGTGGGATACGTAGGCAACCTACGTAGGGTTCGGCTTCATTTTTGCAAAAGTAACCAAATAAAATAAAGTGTAGTTAGGGCTTTGGTCAAAAGAATAAGCCGACCCAGCTTCGGTTATGTCTTAAGTCGTTCTTGCCGGGATAGCCTTAGAGTATCTTTCAATTGTCGAAGGGCTATTTTCGTAAAGAACGGGCAAGTATGTCAGTAAGGTATCATTTTTGTTAGTATCTTTCCCCGGCCTCAAAATTTATTTGGAATTGTGAAGGGGCCACATTTACAGAAACAACCACTTTTGTTAAAAATAGCGTAGGGGGACCTTTTTCCTTTGATTTTTCTCCTTTAGAAGTTAAGAACTGGTTTTCGCAAAAAGGGTCCACCAGATTCAACCCTAACCTTAACCATCCACATGTACAAAATGAACACTGTCCAGAACCCGTCAGTATTAGTCATAGAACAGGCACAACTGCAACTTCGTATGTGGTGGTATGATTTAGATGAAGATGGCCAGGATTGGGTGAAAGAGCATTTGGGTGCCCTTACAGACATTATGGAAATCAAACCACGGGAGGATCTAATCAAGGCCTTGGTAACTTTTTGGGATCCTGTTCACAACGTTTTCCGTTTCTCGAATTTTGAGCTCACCCCTACTCTGGAGGAGATAGACGGATATATTAACTTTGGCCGGGACTTGAGAAAATAACAACTTATATTTCCTAAGGTCCCCCTCTGTGCACAAATTCTTTGATCTCCTGAATATCAACAAGCAAATGAAGAAGGCCCATGTAAACAAAGGATGTTGTTCCTTTTACTTCTTGTATTCCATGTTTGGGCACTCAGTTGGGTTCGAAACGCACGAAAAAGGATTGAACAACAAACAAGATAAGAGCATTTGGCAAATTCATCGTAGGTTCGCTTTCATAGTGGCGTTCTTAGGAATTATAGTCTTTCCGAATGAAGAAGGGACAATAGATATCCGCATGGCCAAAATCGCACAAATCCTCACTACCAAAAAAGATCATACACTTGCTCCTTTAGTGCTGGCAGACATTTATCGAGCGTTAACATTGTGTAGATCCGGGGCTCAATTCTTTGAAGGTTGTAATGTTCTTCTGTAAATGTGGTTGATCGAGTATCTACGCCATCACCCCAAATTCATGAGTTATGGCTCGAGCAAGGACAACTTCATCAAGAGTTATGAGGAAAGGGTGAAAGACTATAATTCTCTAGAAGGGTTTAAAGCCTGGGTCTCCCATTTAAGAACTCCAAAAGCAAGTCGGATTGAATGGACTCTAGGATGGATTCCGGTAACGGAGATCATACACATGACGGCTAAAAAAGGCTACCTAATGTTGATGGGTTTGAGAAGTGTCCAGCCATACACACCGCAAAGGGTTTTAAGGCAGTTAGGAAGATATCAGGTGGTGCCCGAAGATGAAGATTTATGCACCCAAGTCATTGAGCTACACCCAAAAACTACATTACCCAAGGATTTAGTCCAGCAGGATTGGAATGGTTGTCGATATCTGAAAAATGACACCCAGGAACTAGAGCTTGCGAGAGGGGAAGTGGATCCAGATTACGACGTGTGGCCCGAGCTCGATCCCGAGAGGCCCTCCAAGAGAGCGCATGTTCAGGCTTTTGATGATAAAGTCCGGGAAAGGTTGGCCTGGGGATAAAAGGAGAAAAAATATCAAGCCGCCATTCACACCCTGGAAGAAAAATTGAGAAATGTCGAATTCAATAATGATCTACAGGTACAAGAAGATGAAGGTGAAAGGAGAAGGTTGGCCCAAGAAAATGAAGACCTCTGAGCTCAAATTCAGAGGATGAAGATCGCCACTGAAAACCTAGCCAGAAGTAGACAAGATGAAAAACTCATAGTCTTAAACGAAAAGTGTGTGATTATGGGGCTGACTTGGAAAAGGCCGAAGAGGAATTGGCAAAAGCCCGAGCAAAATTGGCAAAGAATGCAGAAGGGCGGGCGAAGTTTTTTCAACAGCTAAAGAAAAGTATGACAGAGAAGTCATGTCTCTAAAGAAGAAGCTGACTACTCCTGAAAATGAAATGGCCCAGCAAACAATTAATTTCAAAGCAGAAATAGAGCATTGCTATGCACTAATTTGCCAACTGGAAGAAAGCATGCAACAATTACAGGACCAAAACAACATAGATACCCAAGTGTTGGAAGCTCGGGTGCAGCAAATAGGGGTTACTTCAGGAGAAAGGGGTCATCAGAACAAGATTAAAGAGATAGCTGACTATGTCGTGATGAAATGTCACGAATGTGAAGACATGACTAGGTCAATGTTTTTTGCTTCCGTGATGCATTCGTTTGCTAGGTGATGGATGACTTGGACCATCTTCAACAGGATATTGCACAAAGGCCCGCGCAAAGACCGGATAATGTTCCGCAGGCTCCCAGGGCAGCGGTGGAAGCTCTTATGTACTCCTGACTTTCTTTTGGTTTTAAGTCTGTATTTCATTTTTTGAGTCTGTTAGTTTTTTCAAGTTTGTTTTGTTTTTCCTATTTAGAGTCTGTATGTCAGTGTCCTTGTAACAGAAAATCCAAAAAGATTTTATTTTAATGGAATATTGACAACCCAAAAAATTTTCTTTCTTTTATTTTATATTTATCCCCTGAACTACGTAATGATCTGATTCATGCGGTGCCATGATACGTAGGCAATCCCATAGGATTCGATCATAACCATAAAATGAAAAGAGAGGAAAGAAAATTGAGTGAAATGAAAGAGTGGCAAAACAAGAGAACAAAAGAGAGTGCAAAATAAGGGGAGCGACAGGAACCAAGTGAGAAAATCAATAGTGATTAAAGAAATGCATTGAGAGAAAGAAAAGAAAGTAAAAAATGAAAAGAGTTAGTTAAGACCGAGATGAAGCATGCAACCGTTCAAATGCACGATAGAAGCATTCAACTATTTAGGTGCATGCATCCCAAACGTGCGATTGCCTATCTGTTAAACTCTTAAACGCTAACAAGTTGCTGTTGCTATTGAGTACGGGAAGGTGGTTAGTTTTTTTGGCATTCTGGAAAGCTACCCATATAACACCAGGTCTAAACACAAGGCGATCATGGCTAGCAAAGAATTAGACGCAAGTGTTGTTGACCCACAGAGAGAGATGGTGGAATATGAGTTTGGTTTGAAAGAAGATGTTCATAAGCTGAAACACTAAATGGCCGAAATGTATCAAGCATGCATTAGGGGGCATCCTCCACCGTCATACCCTGCCAACTACACAGAAAACCCTGTTTTCATCCCACCACTATCTTAATCCCAAGATCTCACTATTGTTGATCTATCCCCGCAGCATGCACCAGGCTTCACCCCTTACCACCACTATCCCGGCACCTCAACCCAAATTGTCCAAGCTCCCCCTGCCAAAGCAACCACATACTCTGCTCCGCCAGCTACCCCTGTCTTCGTAGCCCCTCTGCGAGCTATCCTCCATCGATCTTCTAGTGAGCCGGCATTCCAAGCCCAGGATAACCAATACTATGCCCCAGAGCCCACTTTCAAAGTCCCGGATCATTACTCCTACACTCCTCATTTTGAACTTCCTGTCGAAACCGAGAAGCCACCCAAAAACGCGGAGCAAGAGGAGATATTTAGGAAGGTAAAGAGTTTGGAACAATCACTGAGAAATATTCAAGGGTTGGGAGGCCAAGTGAGTGTGGCTTATAAAGATCTGTGCTTGTTTCCTGATGTCCAGCTACCTGCGGGATTCAAAATGCCCAAGTTTGACTTGTACGACGGGCATGGAGACCCCGTGGCCCACTTAAGAGGATTTTGCAGCAAAATGAGGGGTGCTGGTGGGAAAGATGAATTGTTGATGGCATATTTTAGTCAAAGTTTGAGTGGTGTAACATTGGAGTGGTACAACCGCCAGGACAACAGCAGGCGGTACACCTAGGATGACTTGGCCCAGGCTTTCGCTCGGCATTTCCAGTACAATGTAGAGATTGTCCCAGATTGCCTATCCTTCACTAAGATAGAGAAAAAGCCCAGTGAGAGCTTCAGGGAGTATGGTTTCCGGTGGAGAGAACAGGCGGCACGAGTCAACCCTCCAATAGAGGAAGATGAAATGGTGGAGTACTTTCTTTAGGCCTTGGAGCCTACTTACTTTGGTCATCTGATCTCAGCCATAGGTAAGTCTTTCAATGAAGTGGTGAAGATGTGAGGAATGGTAGAGGAAGGATTCAAATCAAGCAAGATCATGAGTTACTCTGCCATCAAATCAACTATACAAGCAATCCAGAATGGCACCGGGGGCATGTTAGGGAAAAAGAAGAAAGAAGATGTTGCTATGGTCGTTTCAGGATCATGGCATGGCCCAAGGGGTTCACCTCGCCATTACACCCAGCCTCGACCCCAACCTCAAACCTACACCCAAGCTCTATATAATCCACCCCAACACTACTTCCCACCACAAGACCCTCAATATTCAGTCAGACCACCCCATACCACATCCACCACGCACAGTCATATGCTCAACCCCCTCCTTACCCGCAATGGCATGCACCAGCTCCACAAAATCCTTATCCACCTCCACAAAAATACCGAAACTCTACTGGTCCAAGCTTTCGACCCAGGCCGGAGTATAGAAAGGAAAGGCAGCAGCGAAAGCAAACTTTCACCCAGCTCGGGGAGTCTTATGCTAGTTTGTTTCAGAGGTTAAGGCAGTTGGATGTTTTGAGGCCGATTGAGTTAAAACTACCAAATCCCCCTCCAAAGAACCTGGATTATTCCCTCAGGTGCGCATATTGTTCTGATGCTCCGGGGAACGACACAGAAAAGTGTTGGCATTTGAAGAGCGCCATCCAAGAGCTTATCGATACAAACCAAATTATGGTCCAGAGCCCGGAAGCTCCGAACATCAATCAAAATCCATTGCCAGCCCATGCTGAAACGCACATGATTGAGATAGTGTATAAGGATGGGGATCCCGAGAAGCCTTCAAAGTCTGTCATGATTATCCGTGCCAGTGAAGCAAAGCAAGGAATGCCGAAAGTGGTTGTGCCGCGGGCTGCAAGTAAGCCTTTCATAATCGTGGAAGGGGCTCGCATTGACCCTATTATTATTAAACATGTGACCCAGCAGCCGATAAATAACACCAAGGCTGTTCCATGGAATTACAAGCAAGTGATAGTAACTTATAAAGGGAAAGAAGTGGAAGAGGAAGTTAATGAAACCCAGGGGTTGACTCGTTTGGGGAGATGCTTTACCCCAGAGGAATTAAGGAAAGCTGAGCCATTCAAAGATAACCCAATCCCGGTAAAGAATCCAGTTACCGAGGAGGAGGCGAAAGAATTCTTGAGAAAAATGAAGGTGCAGGATTACTCCATCGTGGAACAATTAAGGAAGACGCCCGCTCAGATTTCTCTTCTATCACTGTTGATACATTCAGACGAGCACCGCCGGGCCCTCATGAAGATTTTGAATGAGGCACGTGTCCCTGATATGATTACAGTGAACCATTTGGAGAAGATTGCCAACAAGATATTCGAGGCAAACAGGATCACTTTCTCGGATGACGAGCTGCCTTTGGAGGGTACAAAACACAATCGAGCTCTTTATCTCACCGTGAAATGCGAGGATCTGTGGTCTCGAGGGTACTAGTTGATAATGGTTCCAGTGCAAATATTTGCCCTCTCTCCACTCTGCAAAAGTTGAAAATTGATACTGAAAGGATCCACAAGAACAGTATATGTGTTCGAGGTTTTGACGCAGGGGGAAAGATTCTATTGGCGATATCATGCTCGAATTGACAATAGGACTAGTTGAATTTACTATGGAGTTCCAGGTGTTAGATGTGGCCGTTTCCTACAATTTACTTTTGGGTAGACCCTGGATACATGTTGCCAAGGCAGTCCCTTCTTCCCTGCACCAGATGGCAAAGTTCAAGTGGGACAGACAGGAAATCGTTGTGCATGGTGATGAGAACTTATGTGCTTACAATGATACATCCGTCCCGTTTATTGAAGCCGAATATGATAAAGGGCCTTAGGTCTACCAAACTTTCAAAACGGTGTCAGTTGAGAAGATTCCGGAAGGGGAGTGTATTCCAGGTCCAAAGTTAGCCTCCGCATCCGTCATGGTAGTATCTGAAATGCTGAAGAATGGTTTTGTGCCGGGCAAAGGTCTGATCTTTACAAGGTATCGTGCGGCCAGTGTCTCTACCTGAACTTCTGGGTATGTTTGGTGTGGGATTCAAGCCCCCAGGGGACGAGGTAAAGAGGTCTAAAAGGTTGAAGAAGAAAGCATGGTCACTCCCTAAGCCTATCCCACGCCTCTCCAGGTCCTTCGTCAAGCCAGGGGTCGTGAAGCGCCCAGCGTCAGCAGTCCCAAAGCCTGTGGTTGAATTTGATGAAGAGCTGATTGAAAGGTTCCAGAGTCTATTTGATGAGGTGAACATGGTGGAAATTGGGGAAGGTTCCAGCAAAGCAAATGTGCAGTTTATTGCGCCAAAAGTGAAGCGTAACAATTGGAAGGCTACTGCTCTCCCTACTCGGAAGTAGTTTTGGTAGTTTGCTTTGTTTTCCTTTCTATTATCTGGGTTATTTCAGGGTTGTAATCCAGATTTTTAATTTTCGCTTTTTTTGATGTACAAACCCTTCTATCCTTTATTTTCAATGAAATGCAATTTCCTTTTTTCCATTACTCCTGATAGTGTCATTTTTGTCTTTCTTTGTAAAGTTCTTTTTATGCTGGTTTCAATGACATGACATGCATGAGGAATTTTCGGCCAAGTCTTAAAAGCCAATCTAACTCTGAAATAATAATTCAAGAAGTAGAGTGTAATGATGAAACAAAATATGTTGAAGAAGCGGCATTTGAGGAAATTAGTAAAGAACTAAATCATTTTGAAGAGAAACCCAAGCCTAATTTTAATGAAACTGAAGCAATCAATTTAGGAGATCCAGATAATATCAGGGAAACCAAGATAAGTGTACACCCGAACCCACAAATCAAGGAAGAAATAATCAAAGCACTGTTTGAATATAAAGATATTTTTGCACGGTCATATGATGACATGTCGGGTTTGAGTACTGACTTGGTAGTTCACAAATTGCAACCTGATCCGGCATTCCCTCCTGTCAAGCAGAAGTTAGGGAAGTTCAAGACTGACATGAGTGTGAAGATCAAGGAAGAAATCACAAAATAGTTGGATGCAAAGGTCATTCGGGTCACTCGATACCCCACTTGGTTAGCTAATGTTGTGCCAGTACCAAAGAAGGATGGTAAGACCAGGGTGTGCGTCGATTACCGGGATCTCAACAAGGCAAGTCCAAAGGATAACTTCCTATTGCCAAATATTCACATTTTGATTGATAACTGTGCCAAGCATGAAATCGAGTCTTTTGTGGATTGCTATGCGGGATATCTCCAGATCTTGATGGATGAGGAAGATGCAGAAAAGACAGCGTTCATCACGCCATGGGGAACATATTGCTACCGGGTAATGCCATTTGGTTTGAAAAATGCCGGGGCAACTTACATAAGGGCAATGACTACCATATTTCATGACATGATACACAAGGAGATTGAGGTTTATGTAGATGATGTGATCATAAAGTCAAGGAAGCAGTCCGACCATGTCGGGGACTTGAGAAAGTTTTTCTAGAGGCTCCGCAGGTACAACATCAAGCTCAACCCTGCAAAATGTGCATTTGGTGTCCCGTCTGGAAACCTATTGGGATTCATAGTCGGTCGGAGAGGCATTGAGTTGGATCCGTCAAAGATCAAAGCCATCCAAGAATTTCCACGCCAAAGAACAAGACTGAGGTGATGAGTTTGCTCGGGCGGTTAAACTACATCAGTAGGTTTATCGCTCAACTCACGACAACTTGTGAGCCCATTTTTAAGTTGCTAAAGAAGGATGCCGCGGTCAAATAGACTGACGAGTGTCAGGAGGCATTCGACAAGATCAAGAGGTACCTGTCAAACCCACCTGTGCTAGTCCAGCCGGAGCCTGGGAGACCTTTTTTAATTCTTTATTTGACAATCTTGGATAGTTCATTTGGTTGGGTGCTGGGTCAACACGACATCACTGGCAAGAAGGAGCAAGCCGTTTGTTATCTCACCAAGAAGTTCACTTCATACGAGGTCAAGTATACTCTCCTTGAAAGGACATGTTACGCCTTGAATTGGGTGGCACAAAAGTTGAAGCATTATCTGTCGTCCTACACTACTTACCTCATTTCTCGCATGGATCCTCTATAGTATATCTTTCAGAAGCCTATGCCCATAGGAAGACTTGCAAAGTGTCAGATTTTGCTCATAGAGTTTGACATCGTCTATGTGACCCGGACTGCGATGAAAGCCCAAGCCTTGGCCGATCATTTGGCCGAAAACCCGGTGGATGAAGAGTATGAGCCATTGAGGACTTATTTTCCTGATGAAGAGGTGATGCATATTGACGAGGCTGAGTAGGATGAAAATCCAGGTTGGAAACTTTTCTTTATGGAGCCGCTAACATGAAAGGTGTTGGAATAGGGGTTGTGCTCATTTCTGAAACAGGGCATCACTACCCTGTAACAACCCATATTCATTTCTATTGTACCAACAACATGGCTGAATACGAGGCGTGCATTCTGGGTTTGAGGTTAGCTATAGACATGGGAGTTCAGGAAGTATTGGTTTTGGGAGATTCAGATCTGTTGGTGCACCAGATTCAGGAAGAATGGGAGACTCGGGATTTGAAGATCATACTGTATCGACAATGTCTGCATGACCTTTGTCAACAATTCAGATCAGTAGAGTTCGGGCATATTCCTAGGATCCATAATGAGGTTGCCGACGCCTTGGCTACTCTGGCGTCAATGTTACACCATCCGGATAAGGCTTATGTCGACCCTCTGCATATTCAAGTTCGCGATCAGCATGCTTATTGTAACGTGGTAGAAAAGGAACTTGATGGTAAACCTTGGTTCCACGATATCAGGGAGTACATCAAGTCGGGGGTATATCCGGTACATGCCACGGGTGATCAAAAGAGAACGATTCGATGCCTGTCTAGTGGATTTTTCTTGAGCAGGGGAGTTTTGTACAAGAGAACTCCAGATCCTGGATTGTTGAGGTGCATAGATGCTAAACAAGCTTCTACCATCATGGCCGAAGTTTATTTCGAAGTTTGCGGGCCGCATATGAACGGATACATTTTGGCAAAGAAAATTCTTCGAGCAGGTTATTATTGGCTCACCATGGAACGAGATTGCATCAGCTTTGTGCGCAAATGTCATCAATGCCAGGTACACGGTGATCTGATTCATTCTCCACCATCGGAGTTGCATACAATGTCCGCACCTTGGCCTTTTGTTTCTTGGGGCATGGATGTCATTGGACCAATTGAGCCAGCAGTATCGAACGGGCACAAGTTTATTTTGGTGGCCATCGATTATGTCACCAAGTGGGTCGAAGCTGTAACTTTCAAGTCTGTGACCAAGAAGGCAATGGTGGATTTTGTCCATTCAAATCTCATTTGCCGGTTCGGAATCCCCAAGATAATCATCACAGACAATGCTGCTAATCTCAATAGTCACCTGATGAAAGAGGTATGCCAACAGTTCAAGATTATGCATCAAAATAAGGCAAATGGAGCTATTGAGGCAGCTAACAAGAACATAAAGAAGATACTTCGAAAGATGGTGCAAGGTTCTAAGCAATGGCATGAAAAGTTGCCTTTTGCTTTGCTGGGTTATCGCACTACTGTTCGCATTTCAGCCTTACTGAGGTTAAAGGAAATACAAGATATAACAGTGTAGAATAAGACAGTATACTTAAGTGCAACAGTAAAAATAACACAGGATAAAAGAACAACATCAACTTTAACAGAGACATAGAAATCATGGGACTGAAGCAGTTATACCCGCGGAAGTCGAGATTCCATTCCTTCGAATTGTTGCTGAAGCTGAAATTGATGATGATGAGTGGGTCAAAACCTGATTAGAGCAGTTAAGTCTGATTATGAGAAAAGACTGGCGGCAGTATGTCACGGTTAATTGTATCAAAAGAGAATGGCAAGAGCGTACAACAAGAAGGTGCGTCCCCGAAAATTTGAAGTGGGTCAGGAAGTATTGAAACGCATCCTTCCACATCAAGTTGAAGCTAAAGGCAAGTTTGCCCCAAACTGGCAGGGGCCGTTCATTGTAACGAGAGTGCTGCCCAATGGTGCTTTGTAATTAACAGATATAGAAGGCAAATGTGTAGATATGGCTGTCAATTCTGATGTAGTCAAGAGATATTATGTATGATTTCTTTGGTTTGTCTTCAATTGCATTATTTGTATTTGGCATGTTTCAAAGATTGAAATGACGAAGGCATTTTATTCTGCTATCTAAGCACTTTTATCCTTTGTTACCCCTTTTGAGCCTTATTTATTTTCTTTCATACCCTTCTTTTGGAATCGGAAGTAGAGTTTAAGAATAAAGAAAAGAAAAAGGAAAAGAAAAAAAAAGAAAAAAAGAAGAAGAAAGCTAAAAAGGAAGAAAAAGAAAGCAAAAGAAAAAGTAACAAAAACAAAGCAACTCTTATGTCTTGAACTATGTTCGACATGATTCCTTTTAAGGATACGTAGGCAGCCCTAAGGTTCAGTCCCATCAGAATAAAAATCCAAAATTCCCCAGACTCAAAGAAACAGGGGCAGAAGTTGTGGTGTTGCGAAAGATCTGGTTCCAAAAGTTGTAATTTTGAACCCTTTCCTTTTAAGCTATTTTGAGCCTGCATGCCGTTTTTTCTTTCTAACCCCGTCCAAAAGCCTACACTACGGTCCAAAGAAAGACCTTCCGATCAGTCTTTGAGGAATGCCAAGTCAAGCGAGATAGATGTATGAATCACATCATGGGTAGCACTCTGTTCATGCATAAGGAAAAATGAATAAATGAGAGAGCCTTATAGGTGAAAACCCTCGCGGGCACCATAAGACGACGGTGAGTTGACAGATGAATTAATGAGAGAGTCTTATTGGTGAAAACCCTCACGGGCACCGTAGGGAGATGGAAAGCTGAG